TACAATTTAATAGGTTTTATTGCTGCACAATGTGTATGCACTGCTAATGTGAAACTAGGTCACCACTGCTTATCTTCATCAGTGCTATCTGCATAGTCCAATACTGGTTCAATACTACTTCTCTATTGTAGAGTATAACTGACAAATGTATGTGTACATATGCTTATTCATAAATGTTAATTAATGTCTTAGGTATGTCTATTTAGCTTCAAATTCCACATATTGTCAATTCAAGATATTGGCTAGTTTCTAGGTGGTATATTTATACACATCATTCATACTGTGCCACAACTAAAGTCTCAATAACTTTTCAACCAGGACTTGTAAGTTGAGAAAGTTTTTAGTGACAGTTCATTAATCAATTCACTTTTTATTAATGATAAAAATATATGCCTATAGTGTACTGTTTTAAAAATACAGCAAAACTTATCCTGTTTACATATTTGTATGCTTTGTGCAAAATGCTACTTTTAAAAATGTGATACAATTTCTATGACACATTCTTTTAATAACTTGATTATGCAGAATATCTATATCAACCAAGTTTCAACTTATATCTATTATATTCATATATATCAAACATGGTCACACCTTAATCTGTTATACACAATAATCAATAGTTCACCTAGCAGACATATGCTTTGACAACCAAAAGAAATGTTCAATACTGTTATGGTAACACAGCAAAACAGCTTACCAAGAATTGTCAGTAAGTATTCTTTTAATGCAAATTTCTAGTTTTCTCAAAAATGTATGTAGTATTTGCAATATCTCAGCTGTACAAAAATTTTATATAATTCTTATTATCCACTGAGAGTTAGAATAAATCTTATAACTTATGAAATGCTCCACAATTCTTCTAGTTTTCTCATTATCAAAAACTTTCATTGGTGAATAAGCCATACAAAATCTTTACCACTGTAAAGAACATTGTACTACTGTTGCCTAACCAAATTAAACATTCTTATAGCAGAACTGGTTCTGCTCAGACCTTTAAACAAAGTGTCTAATTTCTGATGTTTATTCAAAATAAAATACTTAAGCAAGTAACAATATGAAATTAAATAGAAGGCTTGTCCCAGTGAAAGTAGCTTCAAACCTCTGGCCATTTTCAACCCACCTCTGGCAATTTTCTATCATATTCTTTCCATGTGAGCTGCTCTGGTGCTTGGATTCAGATACAAATGAATAGAATAAAAATAGTGAGATTTATATATTCAAAGGTTTGCCTCTGATATCCAATCATCACTTTACAGTTGCTGAACTGTCTAGTTCACTTTTATCTTAAGTAATATAATATCACAAGGTTAAACATTTAAAAAAGGTTAATTGAATTAAAACTTGGTCAAATCTTATTGGGTAATTAAAAATTAATCTTCAAGCTGACAAATCAAGACCTGTGTTTGGCCATTGTTATAGCATTGTTGTGTGTACTTCACTCAGAATGCTACTTTTAAACATTAATATTAAATAGTATTGAGTTAGGTCTAAGGTTTTCTAAAAATATTTCATGTCAACCTGAACTGAACAAAGACCATGTTAGGCCAAGTCTTATTACATTTTATTGATTAGGTTTTTAAAGATAACTATATAAGTTGCATAAAGAAATATAGCTTACACATAAAATATAAGAACCAAAATTCTAGAATAAGCAATAGAC